AGTACACCTATCTCTATTGTGTATGCTCAGTTGGGCAAATCTTTACCTTCTGCCTTCTCTCATTAAGCCACATGTTGATGACACTATTATGGCCTCCTGTATGAAATGCTAGGTTTATCCTGTACCCTCCGAAATGGAGGATGGGGAGCCAGGAAGAGAGCCTCTTATTTTTTCTCAGGACAAAAGCAATTCTGGCTGCAAAACATTCTTAGTTAGGTAGTTTCCAATTCTGATTCTTCCACTGCCTGAATATACAAACCAAAGTCTGCCTGAAACATTTTCCACTCTTTGGAGATATGCTTTTCTCCTCTTTCATCTTCATTATATGTAAATATATATTATTTACAATTTACAAAACCTGTTCCTTAAATATATAAATGTGTACAATTACAATTATGTGTATATATAAACATAAGCCAATTTATAAAATTTATGAAAAATAAAATATAAACTTTATGAAAATAAGCCAGTTGTAACACTATTTTGCCTTTTAAAAGCCTATCAAACCTGCCTACTTTTATAATCAAGCTTTGAATTTGGAAGGGGAACTCTAGAAAAGAGCACTCATTATAATATACAGTGCCTTGAAATCAACAATAGCTATGAATATATGGATAAGGTTTATTTTTAGCCTTATTAAAAGATGTATTTACATTTGAGATTTTGTTTGTTTATTTGTTTTGATTTTGATGAGGAGTGCATTTCTCAAATAAATTACTTGTTTCTTCTCACTTACTATGCTTTTGTTCAATGTAATACCAATTTCCCTCAGATGAAACTACTTTGTAGAATGTGCTCCTTTAGTAGATCCAGTGTACTACAACCACGCAACCACAAGTGGACTGTCAGTCCATTGTTCTGTAGATGATCTGACCTACAGTGAAAAGTAAGCCCAGACCTCTGTCACTTTCCAATTTCTAGGAGGGAGAGAAGGTTCTTTGCAATCTGTATACCCTGCATGAGATTAAGAAACAATGATTCAAATGTTGGTCTAACCAGTTTATTACAAATCAGGGAAATGGGGAAGGGGAGGACGAGCACTATTATGAATTAGGGTAATGGGGAAGGGAAGGAGGGCAATATAAAGGATGGGAAAGAAATAGCAAGGAGCCTTTGTAGGAAGCAAAAAGGAGATAGTCACCATCATGGATCCAGTGTAGTTCATAATTCTGTCTTCTGTAGTGGTGGGCCATTGAGCATTGTTCTGTTGATGATGATGGTGACCATGGCGATGATGGCAACTTCTCAGTGGTAGTACCAACTTATTTGTAAGTCCAAAGTTGTCAAGTCAGTTCTTTTTGGAGAGACAACTCAAATCCAAAGTGATTGAGTCAGCTCTCCTTGGAGTGGCAACTTCTGTCTCTGGGATCTCAGCAGAAACTCCTTTTTTTCTATCTTCCAGACCATGCCAGCAGATAAGAGGGAGAAGGGAGGTGCCAACTTGTATCTTACATTCCAAAGATACAGTGGTATAATTCCCTAGTCTCCTATAGCAAACAGGCATTACTTGGTCACAGGCTAGGTCTTCCACTAGGAAAACAATCCAGAGCAATCTCTTCTGAAGGCAAACAGCTCCAAAGAAATGCTTTGAAATGTAAAATTGTCCACACAGTGATGTTGATTGCCGCACAGCAACACCCATTTCTCATCTCCTAGAGTCTTATCACAAGAAATACCTCAGAAAGCAAGCTTTGAGGTAGAAAGCAAAGAAGGATTCATACAGTCTCACAGGCTATGGACACCAGCTTCTCTAGCACCTCTACAAATCCACTCCTTTTGATCTTCGCTACTTGCTAACATAGGCATAACCCAAATGATATGTGATTTAATGATTACCTAGGCTTCTTCTAGGCAGTGAGAAGAGATAGACACCTTCAAAGGCTTTCATTCTATTCACTGTGCATATTTACCTGAAAAAAAAAATAATAATAATAATAATAAAAAAAAGTAAAAAAAAAAATAAAAAAAAATCTCTGAACTTCTTGTGAAGAAGCTGAGCTTTAGAGAAGGTAACTAATTTGAGAAGTATTCATTGCCAAATTTAAGACAGATTTCTGCTAAGCATTTAGCTTTTTCTAGATCACTTTTCTGAGATACCTAATTATCCCTCTGTATGTTACAAAACCAAAAATGAGATACTTAGCTTAAATTTCCTTTTGGGAATCAAGGATATAAAATGTAGTCATTCAAGCACATAATTTTAAAAGAACTGGTGTTCCTTATTGGATTTAGCTGTAAGTTCTTTGAGAAAGAGGCTGTTTTCTTATGTGTTTGTGGTTTTTTTTATTTTATTTTATTTTTTATTTTCCATGGCATGGAATGGTTGATTTGGTAAAATGGCATATGTTGGATTGCTCAATGAAAATCTCCATGAGGAATGAGAACATACCAGTTTAAAATCCATTATGGATTGAACTTCAAGATTCAAGGCTGTCCAAAATACACCAAAGAACAATTAAAAAAGACTTTTATCAGTTTAATATATTTATTTTGCTCCTAACCAAGCACTAAAGCACACATCCAGTACCTCAGGCAACTTTCTTCACCTTACTGCAGTAAAAGATTCATAGGGAGTTCAATTATAGAATGATTGGCTAATTTCAATAGCTTGTTTTAGCCATTAAGCCTCTACAAAGGCTTTATGGATGTTCTAATGAACACTCTGCAAGACTTTCAGTGTAATGAAATTTGTATTAAGATACTATAAGGAGTGTCCCACAATGTAAGGTCACTTCCATTTTTCCTCATTACAGCCCTAGAAGGACAAAAGAAGAAAAGGAGAATATCCTGTTCTCTTTTTGTTTTTTTTTTTTGGCTGCAGAAAGTATGTTAACTTTGAGCACAAAACTTTCAGTGTTACCTTGCAAGTAACAGTAACAACACTAGCTTATGGTGACATAGGGGACTGCACAATGATATTGCTAAATTGAGCAAAGATAGACAAATGCAACCTTTCCTTTCTCTTCACTTATTAGTGCAAGTGCAATTCCAGAACTTGAGATCTATTTACAGTAGTTGAGATTGGAGATGGGGTGATACTCACCAGCTCATACAAAACTATTGTAAATGAAGAAAATCATGATCAAAATCAGTTGATATGTGAATAAATATCTGCCAGGAGTATAAGGAATTGCATGAAAATTTCAAGATCTTTGTCATGATTTGACATATTATAAAAAGATCCTGAATCTCAGGGAATGTTCTGAGAGTCATCCACAGTAATCTCACTAGTGTACCTTCATAATGTGGATCTACAAGATATTGTTCAAACAACATCATTATGCACATTAGTTATGCAAAACTATGCAAGAATATGCAAAACATATTTTAGTTACACTGACTCATATATTTTAAATAGAAGATTTTGATATTAACACAATCAATATATCAATTTTTGTCTTTAATGGTGCAGCCAACAAAGTAGAGAACGCTGGTATAGCAGATTTTAGTCAGATCTTTGAATCTTTCAACTCAATTGATATCTAAGTTGATTTCCACACTATTTCATATAAATTCAGAATGTGATTTTGCTTTATGTGAGTTATAGTATTGCTGAACTACTAAGGTTTTTTGCTACAAAGAGATGGGACATTTAGAATTATTTGGAAAATGCTGCCTCTGTTTGGCTGTGCAGCAGTGACAACAGAACTATATGCGTGTGGCCAGCTACGTTAGTTCAGCTAATAACATTTTAATTGTGCATTCATGTTATATCAGGTTTTAGCAACTTTGAAAGTCACAAGAGGATACATTATACTGATATTAGATTGATTTTATAAAACTGAGGGAGACATTTATGAAATCTCTCCTCTCTTCCCTTATATGTTTGTGGTGCTGAGGACTGCTCATCCCTTTCTTCATTTCTGTTGTTCTACCCTCCACACAAAATACTGTACATCTGCTTCCTCCACATGAATTTACCAGACTCCTAAAAAGCCTTCCACAGACTCCACATCTAGGATACTGAAGCTGTGAAAGAGATTGGCACTGGAGATCAGAAATCATTTGATTTCTGAAATGGATAAGGAGTAATAAAATGGTTATTTAATGTATCTTTACTGAGAAACAGCTGTAAACATCTGAAATAAAATAGATAAGTAGATAGATAGATAGATAGATAGGTAGGTAGATAGATAGATAAAAAAGGTGAAGAGCAATAGCTTCCAATAGCTTCATAAGGGGCTCAGAGTAGACAGCAAGCATTTGCCAGACATTTACACTGGGGTTCATGTAAGTAAATGTAACTATAACAGCACTGACATTTGCTTCCAAGCCAGTCTTCCAAACTAAAAGCTGTCTTATTGTTTAGAGGAGGGAATCATCTCACTATAAAATAGATGTCTAAGGTTGATCTAAAAATGTGTCCCAAAATGCTTGTTTCTGTTCACTGATTATGAGCAATACAAGACGACTAACTCATGAACATGGAGCAAGCAATGATGAAATGACTCTTATAAATTTTAGTCTGATTGTCTTGCTGCTTTAATATATTACTGCCTTACATTTTCCACTTATGATGTATTACAACCTAGTTTGCAACAACTGAGAAATGATTAACGTATGAAAGTCTCTGTATAGTTAATTTTGAAGATTAAAATAATCTTTCCGTTCTGTTTCCTCATGATGCAGAGCATCATTTGTTAGGATGTTATTTCTTACACATTTACATACATAACAGCATATCTTATCAATAATATATTTCCTAAAAGTTATTTCTGGTGATAATGAAGAAATTGTAATACCGTAGATGAACATTTGAGACAGGTTATCATTACTTCAATTTTATACACACACACACACACACATATATATATATATATATATATTTAGATGATGGTAGAATAAGGTGAACATGAGACTAAATATCTGACTGATGTCTGTTTTGTTCTTAACTGAACTGTCCCTGCCTGGGACAAGGAAAGGGAATCACAGCCCTGGCTCTTATGCAGTCAAACAAGTTTCTGTTGAGCATCTGAAACTTAAAGATTGGAGAGAAGAAGATACTGAAACGTGTATTTTCTTATTAAATCATAGGTTTTTTTCCAATGCAGGTCAATGAAAGCATGATAAATCTGAAGGGATAAAATATTTTTTTACATCTTTCTTAAAAGAGGAAAAAACATCAGCACTTCCATCTAGAAGACATTACCATGTTCAGGCCTTATTCCATTTTATGTGAATTATATTTGCTAGTCATGGAGTTGAAAGGCAATACAAGCTGCACTTAGTAATAATACTTACAATCTTGCCAACTTCTCTGCCTTCAAAAAACTTTTGAAAAGATTGCCTTTGGGATGCGACTGAAGCTCCTGGAGGGATCAAAATAGTAATCAAACATTTTTAGAAAAAAAAGGTAAAAAGAGCCTTTTTTCTGACTGGAAAATCCCTCGTTACACATACTAATCTGATGACATTAAATAATTTTACTATAATAATCTTCTACGTTTTTATACTAATTCAGGACAATTGAATAAAAATACCCCATTTGTTTTTGACAAAGCCCCTCTGAAATTGCAAAATTCCATATGACATATCTTTTGAAGTTAAAAGGAGTTACAGCTTAACTGTAAAGGAGTAGATTTACCCTGAGACCCAGTTATGGATCTTCAGATTCATAGGTACAGGTTGGGGGATGACCTGCTGGAGAGGAGCTCTGCGGAGAGGGACTTGAGTATCCTGGTGGACGACAGGTTGGCCGTGAGCCAGCAGTGTGCCCTTGTGGCCAAGAGGGCCAATGGCATCCGGGATGCATTAAAAAGAGCGTGGCCAGCAGGTCGAAGGAGGTGATCCTCCCCCTCTACTCTGCCCTGATAAGGCCTCATCTGGAGTATTGTGTCCAGTTCTGGGCTCCCCAGTACAAAAAAGACAGGGATCTCTTGGAAAGAGTCCAGCCACAAAGATGGTGAAGGGCCTGGAGCATCTCTCCTACGAAGAAAGGCTGAGTGAACTGTGTCTGTTCAGTCTTGAGAAAAGAAGACTGAGAGGGGATCTGATCCAGGTCTATAAATAACCAAGGTGTGGGGGGCAGAGTGGCGAGGCCAGACTGTTTTCAGTGGTGAGTGGAGACAGGACAAGGGGAAGTGGCTGGAAACTGCAGCATAGGAAGTTCCGTACAAATGTGCGCAAGAACTTCTTTACAGTGAGGTGACGGAGCACTGGAACAGGCTGCCCAGGGAGGTGGTGGAGTCTCCTTCTCTGGAGATGTTCAAGACCTGCCTGGATGCCTACCTGTGCAACCTGGTGTAGGGAACCTGCTTTGGCAGGGGGGTTGGACTTGATGATCTCTGGAGGTCCCTTCCAACCCCTACAATTCTGTGATTCTGCGATTCTGTGATTCTGTGATTCAGTAGTCATCCAGGTAGAAGTAAAGGGGCAAACATACTCTGCTGTGTCTCAGCTACCAATCAGAGTCATTGAGACCTGGATGGATTCAGATCAGTCTTTCCTCCTTGTAATGTACAATCCTGTAACACAAAATAAAAATGAAGCATACCTCTGTCCTGATTTCAGGCAGGATGGATTTATTTCTCCTCAAAGTATTTGGTGTGATGATTTATTTTGGATTTTTGATTGTATTAATAACAATCTAAGATTTTAGATATTGCTGAACATGGCTTACACTAAATCAAGGACTTTTCGGCTTCTCGTGTTGCCAGCAATAAGGCTGGGAAAGCAGGAGAAGCCAGAAAAGAACCAGAACAATTTACCCAAACTGCCAAAGTGATGTTCCATAATACTGTTTGACATCCTATTGAACAAAAAAACGGGAGGGTGTTGGCTTGAGGATCTTCTGTTTCTTGACTGGGCATCTGTCTGCAGGATGTGAGCAATTGCTCTATGCATCATTTAGTTGTTTCTTTTTAGTGCTTCCATTTGATTATTTTGTTTTTTAATTTTTGTTTTGTTTTCTTATTAAAGTGCTCTTAACATACAAGTTCTTCCTCTTCTATATTTTTTCAATTCTCTCACACAAGCAACTACAAGGAAGTGAGTAAGTGCCTTTCTGGTGCTTAGCAATCTGATGAGTTAAACCACAACCACCTCTTTGTTACTATAAATGTTTCCAAACAAGATCCCACTTTTCACTGACTAAATACATGTACAGCCTCTTAAACCGGCCAGAAAAAAAAAAAAAAAAAAAAAAAAAAAAAAAAGAAGACCATCAAACCTGCTTGTATATCACTACTTATTCCTCAAGGCATGGTCTAAGCTCAGAACAGGAGACAACACAAAGATTGTTTCATTTTGTGTTATTCTCAAATATGAGTAACCTTGGGAAATTTTATTCTAGGACAGAGGCTTTTGATAGACTTTTCATTTTATTTTATTTTATTTTTCCCACAAAAGTGACTTTGGCTGCACCTGAGAAAATAGTTGCCTGATCACTGAACTTCATCCTTTTTATGAGGATACAGTTTCTCATAAAACTTAGCCTTGCAAACAAATGTGAACAATTACCTGTAATCTGGTGATACTAATTCCAGACACAAAACAAGCTGATTTGACTAGGAAAAGGTATATGACTAAAGGCATGGGTGTCCAACCTTTTGGACAGCCTTTCAGCCTGGGTTGCATTGAGTAAAAAGGACTGTATATCCATTGGTTGCTCTAAAAGCAATGCCTCTTTTTTATTTCCACGGAAAAGACAACCAATTCAAAGAGCACAATAGCGTTGCCTGATAGAGCAAATTCTCATCTACAAAACACTATTTTTTCACATAATCAACTATGAGCTATGTGTTTTTGCTGACAGTGAACAAGAGCCTGCATGCTTTGCTTGTTAAAATCTGTACCAGTGGAGGTGGCATGCTAGAAAACTTTTACCACTGCTGAAACATGAAACCGCCTGCCACTATGCTCACATTCACTGTTTGGTCTCCATTGAAGTCCAGTGCACACTGATGAATGTCAGTGGATGCAATTTTTTCCACATGGAGGAATTCAGTTCCACATTTTTGCTTCATATGCCCTTCTATGTCAGGTGCCATTTTGTCAGACTGCTGCTCTGCTGTTATCTATTGCACAGCAACCACACTTAATGAAGTAGTAGCGGAAAGGTTCTGTCTCTACTGCCATCCCCCAAAATCTACTCTGATGGCAGAAGCCAATGTAATAAAATTGGAAGCATTACTTTTGGACCCTCCCTATTTAATATAGCTAATGATACAAAGTAACAAAACTTATTTTAATTTTAATTTTTGATGTTTTTTATTAAAACAAAAAACAAAAAAGCATTTTAAAAAGGAAAACAAAGCCATAAAACTAGTGGAATATTTTATACTGTTTTTGTGAAACTAATGCCTCAGTCTGGTTCAGTGGCAGTGGCTACAATTCTGTGAAATGAGGGATATGTCTGTCTGGGAAGAGAGAGCTTATGAATGTCTAGTAAAGAGACATGATCAAATTTTTGATTGCAACATTCAATGCAAAATTCACAAGTAATGTGCGCATGTTGATTACAAATGATGTTGTAAATAGCAAAAAAAAAAAAAAAAAAAAAAAAGATTGTTTTTACAGCAATCTTGAAACCTGTTCTCAAATTCCTTTGTCAAAATGGAAAGCATGGCTGCCTATTTTTCACAGGACTGCGTTTAGCCAGTGTATCAAAATACATAAACTTATTTGTCAGAATTTGAGGTGGCACTGCACTATTTCCACCCCATGTTCCTGGTTTCATTATAGGCAGTGTTAATAGAACACCAATGCTGAGTTGGTGCTGATTAAGCAATAGGCAGGACACAGGCAGAGTTACTGCCATGATGGCATGAAGCAGGGGGTGGGCCTCAGTGCGAGGTGTTCTGGGCCTTATGTGGCCCATGGGCTGTGGGTTGGACATGACTCAGTGAAGGTACCTTCCAGAGCAGGAACGTTTATGATGTTCAGAGTAAACCATGACCCTGAGTTGCATCCTGTAATTTAAAGAGATTAAAATATCAGAAAAGTCTTCCTGAAACGCTGTAAATAGACACCCCCAACTCACCAGTCTTTTACGCTCAGAAGGAAATGCAAATCTGAAATATGTGCTGCAAATCACAGCACTACAGGCTCAGAAAGCTTGAAAGTACTGTAGGATTGGTTATCCAAGAAGGATTAGCATACTGAACGCCGAACACATCACAACAAGCAAGACCGCTGTGCAAAGACTACCCCTACCTGAATAGTATTTTCTTAAATATTCCTGATGTGTGCTGTTTGTATGGGTAAGATATAAATGCATAAGGATGGAGAGGAATGGAAAGAGAGTTCGTTGTGAAAATGTTTGTGCTGTGCTATGCTTAAGTTTGGGGAAAGAAAAAAAAAAAAGCATAGAAGAAGATGACACTAAAGACTTTATTTCTTTAAGAACCACTACTGGAATCAAATTAGATATGCATATTTCACCATGGGCCATTTACAGATAATTCACTATGGCCATCTGCACTTCATTCAGTCCAGAGTTGATTTTGCATTTTGTTAACCCTGAAGGATAGCTTAATTTTAGTTTTCTTTTAAGGATGTAATGAATAGGTAACAGAGTGGTTGTGTGCATGTGGATATAAATGAAAAATTGCTTATTTTTAAAATGAAGACAAAAATTGGAAATGAGATTGTTTTTCTCACGAGAAGCTTGAGAATCATGTCTTGATTTAAGACAATTTATTGTGAAATCTAGATTATACATATTCATAGATATCAGGTCTAAACAACTCTGTATGCTCAAAAAATAAAATTTCAACATGTGCAAATCACACTTTCCTTTTCAAAACTAATTTCGTTCCACCAGATAAAATGTTTCCACAGTTCAGTGATACTAAAGATACCACCGTAAAACCTGAATTTACCACAAATAAGAAAATGACAGAAAGTTTTGTAAACCCAAGCTGTATATTTGAGATGAAATGGGCTAGTTTAACTTGTTATGGTAGGCATTATCATTACAGAGAAAGATGAGAATGTCATACAGAAATAACTGTATGGTCTTGAGGACAGCAGAATTGAAATCAAATTAATTTAACACAGTGAATAACCAAGAT